CAAAGATTAAAGTCAAAGATTCTTCTTTCTCAGGCGATAATCTGACAACGTGACAACCCTGACCTCGAAACTTTCATTTAATACTCATTGTGCACATTAATGAACACGTCGTTACCACACAAGTGTCAACCACATATTACTCCCTACTCTTGAGAATATGCGATAGAAATGACTAGCCACAATTTTCCAAACAAAATGAGTGTGGAAAACTTGTCTACATAAGTATAATGTATATTATATTTTCACTTTCCACTATAACAGGCGTACAGCACTCTCTCCTAGATGCGTATGATTATGCGTAGACGCAGGTACTTATTGCGTAGTTTCGTCAGAATACTACGTCTGCGCAGTGCAACTGTGCAACTCACTACACTACCATTACTGCACTTACCACACAGTGATTTGTGTAACTACGTTATGATTACAAGTAGATTTAATAAACGGTACCCAACATGTTCATTCAATAAATATCTACTTAATGTTTTGGTTTTCTAATGTCTTTCACTCATGGTTGCTTTTTATTGACAATATGATATGGTTTATTTTATAAAATAACCTGATTAATTTATTTGTACATAATAAAACACTGTATTCTTTGATATGCTCAAATCAAATGACAGGCGGCGCCATAATTGAGATCCATACTTTTATTTCCTTTGGCCGTAAAATCTGTCTAGCCTATTCACAAACTAAGAATGGTTTCGGTCGCAAACAACATGAACCTTACCAAGAGTGTCGGTGTCATCAGACCGGTGCACGATGCGCAGGAGTTGCCTCATCGCTCACCGTCGCCTGTCATTATGGCGGCTACTTTTTGTCTGACTTGCAAAACTAATGTAATGTTCGGTTGTTCGGTTACATCAATCCCAACGTTTTTTGTATTCTAATTCAACATTGTTTTTTTTTTTTTTTTTTTTAATCTATTTATTTATGGGATTTAATCACACAGTGATAATGTCACCCCGTGACTTACAATTAACTTGTCTAAAATCTAAATATGCTAAGTATCTTACGAACTACCCAGGCTTACATGTACTTAAACAGTTAAACTTACATAGTATTAACTAGTTATACTTATTAATTATTAATAACATTTAGGAGTCGACACAAAACCCTAGCATCTTCTGACAGAGGGACAGCTAGGATGCTGTTACAAGTCCCTACTTCAAATCCAGATAATTTGAAGTTTCTTTCCAGTACGTTCCGATCACACTCCATCAGAACATGGTAGATATCCTCTATTACTCCACAAACTTCACAGTTTGGAGAAGTACTTTTACCCATTAAGTATTTAAATTTGTTGGATGGAATGTGGCCGGACCGCATTCTCAATAATGCTACCACATATTTCCTATCTATATCCCTACCTTCAAACCATGGGTATCGAGGCAGTTCAGGCTGGATAGTTTTATACCAGATGCCTTTCAACTGAGACCTCTCATCAAAATATTCACGCCATCTTTGTCTGCACAGTTCTTTAACATGCCCCAGCCAATCTGAGTATAGCGGTGTGCATTTGTAAATAATCCCCTCGTACGATGCTTGTTGAGCTGATGTGTCTGCTACCTCGTTACCCATGATTCCAATATGAGAGGGTATCCATTGGATAGTTATATTTCTATTCAAAGACTGCATCTTGCGTATACTTTCTAAAATAGTCATGGCTATCGGTAACCCTCGAAGACTCGAGGGTATTCGAGCCAAGTGTTGAAGGCTACTTTTTGAGTCCGAAAATATAACAAATCTGTTATGATGCATATTAAGCAAATACGACATGGCTTCAGAAATAGCTATAAGCTCACAATACATAATAGAAATCTGAGAATTAATTTTAAATTTAGTTTAATGTTAAGTTGAGGATCAAAAAAAGCAGCCCCCAAGTCCAACCCATTTTTGGACCCATCCGTAAATATTTTATAATATTGTTTGTACTTGTCATCCATCATTATTCTACATTTGTTACGGAGATCAGTTACATTAATTAGCCTTTTTGCCATATTTATACCGTCAACAGTATCACAAATTGTGTAGGACAAGTCTACATTGGTTACCCAAATGTCCAAAGAATAAACACTCAACAACGAACTAGAGTACAAAGGAATTTCTGAGTACATTCTGTGGACCTCTATTAATACTGGTAGTTTTTTATTTCTCCAGTAGAAACCATGGCAAAGGTTAGACAGCTCCTCTAAGATACTAATAAGAATGTTATTACAATCCGACTTCGATTTTAAATAAAACTTGCTTGCAAGAAACAATCTTCGAATAGATAATGGTTGCAGACACAGGTCAGCCTCCATCACGTGGATGGGTGTGCTTCTAATAAATCCCCCTATTACTCTCATTGCTTGGTTTTGTATTCTGTCAAGTTTTATGAGGTGGCTGTTTACACAATTTCCGTACAAAAAGCAACCATAATCCATCCTACTTCGAATTAATGCTATGTATAATCTTCTAAGATGTATGGGATGTACACCCCATTGCGCACCAGCTAATATTTTAAAAATATTTAAATAACGACTGACCTTTCCCCGTACTTCATGTATGTGTTTACCCCACTTTAAGGAACTGTCCAACCACATACCAAGGTACTTGACACAATTGATTTGTTCAATAGGATCACTATCAACAGTTAGTTGGATAGTGTTCCTTCTTCTCCCTCTACTAAAAATGCACACCTTTGTTTTCTTATGAGAAACATTCAAACCTAATTCTATCATCAAATTTTGAAAAACATCTAATGCGTTTGAATATGACATACAGAATCCGATAAAGTCCTCTGCATGTCATATACACAAAATCATCAGCGTATTGTGAGATATAAACGTTATCTATGGTTCTACAAACTTTACTTGTGGCTGCGTGAAAAGTAAGGGGGACAAGGGATCTCCTTGAGCTATGCCTGTGCCGGTAATGCGAGACACTAAGATGTTATGTTGTAGTTCAATAAATAAGTGTCTTTGATGAAGATACCTCCAAAGATATTCACAAAGGATAGAACCAACTCCCATGTTATCTAAGATGTTTAAAAGAGACGTTAGATTTATATTATTATAAGCATTCTCAATGTCTATGAAACAACCTACTGTGGATACATTTTTGGAAAATCCAGTTTGAATGCGTGTGACCAATCTAGAGAGACCCTCATAACAGGATTGGATCTTCGGAAGCCTGTAGTGTCATGAGATAGTAAATGATTTTTCTCTAGGAACCATTCAAGCCTACGGGTTATAATGGTATGAAATATCTTACAAAGACAAGATATGAGAGCAATGGGTCTAACACTTGTACTTGAGCCTAGGGCACTACCCGGTTTCGGTATAGGAACGATTTTAACATTTCTCCACTGCTCTGGTACGAATCCGGATGAGAAAAATCTATTGTATAAGGAGGTTAACATGACTTTAGCATTGTAGGGTAAATGTTTTATCATAGAATAAGACACGTTATCTTGACCCGGGGCTGAATCTGTATTTTTAATTGAATTAATTACTTCCTGTATCGAAACCGGTATGCACAATTGAGCGTTACAAGAATTGAATGTAGGTGTCGGTGGTGAAACATAATCGGGGGCCAGACTACACAACAATGTTTCGGCTTTACCTTGATCAACAAACGATGGAGACGATCTATACCCTTTGATCCATCTCATGCGCTTCCACATCTCTGCAGAAGAAGTCACACTGTCTATGCTAGTGCAAAATGAACGGAAGGATTCATTTTTGGCTTGTCGTATAAGTCTTTGTGCCTCACTCACTTTTTTCTGCAAAACTTCAAGATTTTGTGGGGTCGGATTTCTTCTGAAAGTGGATAATGCTAGTCGTCTCTGTGCAACAATATGCGATAGATTTTGATTCCAATATGGTTTTGGTATGAATTTATTTGATTGTAGAGGATTCATGCACAGTTTAATCGTAGGAATGAATTCATCGGCTGCAGCATTTATAGTATCCATGAATTTATTATATGCGGATTGGTGATCTGCTGGCAATTCTAAGCATGTTATTTGTGCTTCTATTTTCTCACTGTACTTTTGCCAATCCGCTCTTTGAAGTTTCTTCGTTTTTTAAAGCTGTGTGATTTATTGTTTTGCATACTAATTTTAATTAACATGTGATCACTCCCCAGATTTTCATTCATGACCCCCCATTTGAATCTCAAAGCCAAATCTGTTGACACAAAAGTTGTATCTGGGGAGGAACTTTGCAAAGCTCCATTGACTAATTTTATTCGTGTGTGAGAGTTATCATTGAGTATACAAAGGTTGCTGTCCATTATTGAATCAAAGATCTGATTGCCTCTTGTATCTGTCCTGGAAGACCAATTTGAGTGATGGCCGTTCAAATCGCCTGCGACGAGAGCTTTATGTTGAGCTAATGAGAACACTTCATCCCAGTCATTTCTGCATGTATTTACTGACGAGGGACAGTAAATAGAAACGACGTTTTCTAGATGATTGCAGTTGAGTAATTTAATTTTAATAATTTGTATTTGCGAATTTGTTATGTTTACATTACATTGTGTAGCTCTAATAGAGTGATGAGTAAAGACAGCTACACCCCATAACCATCATCACGATCTGCTCTGAATATGTTGTATCCACTCAGTCTGATAACCTTTTCAGGATCAAACCAAGTTTCACTGATTACAGCTATATGAATTTTTTCTGATTTAGTAAACTTTCAAATTCCATCATTTTTGGTTGTAAGCTCTGAGCATTCCATTGTAACACATTGATGTTTATGTGCCTGTTGTTATTATCCATTTTTTAATTTTGGTCATAATAGGCATTTCTGTTATAAACTCCATAATAAAAGATGAAACCCAATCAAATAATACTTTCACAGAATCCATCACTTTATTCTCCAAACTAGCTTCACTATCCCAAATTATTTCCTTTAATTTAATCCATACCAATTTCCAGTTATTGTTATTCTTTTTCTTATTTAATTCATCTGCTTTTTCTATATTTTCGTGTGATATTTCGGACTCACTGTCTGTCAAAGTCGTCCAGTTAAACACCGTATCTGATTTCTGTTTTTTCTTCGCGTTCTCCTTTTGTTACAGTATTTTTGTGTTATAGTAGCCTTCTTCTTTACTTTCTTAACTGTGTCAGCATATGTGTTTTTATTTTGTGATGCAGATCTTTTTTCTGTGTCTGTACTTTGGTTTAACACCTGATGTTCTATTTCCGTATCTTGTACTCTTCCTTGTAACTTTTGCACGTTATTTGGTTCAGGGGGGACGTAAAGTGTTAGAGCTCTTTTGTAAGTGCAATTAAACTCCGCCATTAATTCCCTTATTTTCCTTTCTTTTAAATATATTGGGCATGTACGAGACAGTGCCATGTGTTTACCAGAGCAATTATTACACTTGTAGCTTACAGTGTCACAATTGGGGTGAGACTGGGTACATTTAGGACAGATCTCTTTAACAGATGAACAAACTCGGACTGTGTGCCCGAATCTCCAACAACGAGAACATTGAGTTACGGGAAATTGATAAGGACTAACTTTTATCCTAGTTTCAAATATGTATACGTAGGCAGGTAAGGATGATCCTTTAAAAGTTATTCTGACTGTTTCTCCAGGTTCCCACAGGCCACTATTTGTGTTACGACGTTTTAATCTCTTAATACCTGTTATCTCAGTATCACAAGTTAAACCCTCGAGTATTTCTTCCTCCGATGAATCTAAGTCTATATCTTTAATAACACCATAACTTTCTTTTATCTCTAGTGTTTTTTGGCATTTCAGTCCTTTTTCTTTAAAATATTGAGATTCTATCAGTTTATTTGCACTTTCTTCGTTACTAAATTGGATAAGAACTTTGAATGCGTTAATGTATTTAATTTTTGTAATGTCCGGGATGTTTTCTAATTTTAACAACTTGGCAAGTCCAAACTGTTTTGGTATTTTGTCTGCAGAAGTTATACTAATTTCTATTTTATCTTCAGGTATTCTTATCTCATCGGACACCTGGCTTGTTCGGGCAAAACGTTTACCCCGCCTCGTTATATTTGTCCACATTTCATCGTGATCAATCTGTCTAGTTCTTTTACTGCATCTCACTCCGTCAGTTTCTTCAATATTTTGTATAGATTCTTCTAATATCTCCATATTCTCACAATTACTAATATTCTCCCTACACGCTCCTATTTCATTATTCTCAATAGCTATCTCAATTGATGGTTCGAATTCAAGTTCGCAACTATCCATCACTGATAAGCATTTCTAAACAATTAAACATATGCGCGGTCGAGCGCAAGTGGTCAAACCGGTTCAAAATTGCCACAATATGCGCGTCTTACGATAACACGCGCCCGCGCGCAACTGATTCAACATTGTGTTGTAGACAAAATAATTATTTGGCTTGTCCTTGTATATTATAACATCAATAAATAGAACTAAGGTATGTTCGCCAAAAATGGCCCGCTTCCTGAGACGGGCCACTTAAAAAATATGCAGTTATGATTACTTTTTTCGATATCTTGATTGTCAAATAAATACATTACAACCTCCAATATATTTCTTCTCTACTATTTATCTACATATACAAGGTTTTGAAATAAGGTGGGCCTTATTAAGTGACTGTACCTTACTTCTATCTTATTTCACTTCTTACTAATATTATAAATGCTAAAGTTTGTGACTTTGCATACCTGTGTGTTTGTGTATGTTTTTGCTACGCAATCACGTCAATACGACTGAATAGATTGGGCTGAAATTTGGTCCAGAGTAGATTACGATCTATAATAACACATAGGCTACTTTTTACCCATGGGAAAGGGGGCTAAGCAGGTGGCAAAAGGTTACATAACCACCTATATAGTATACTACATAGCTTCTGCCCGCGACTTCGTACGCATAATCCCATTTTTTCCCGTCCCCGTTCGTGATTTTCGGTAAAAAGTAAAAAAAAAAGTTGGTCAAAAAGTATCCTATGTCGGTCTCCTGGCTCTAAGCTACCTCCCTACCAATTTTCAATCAAATCTATTCTGCCGTTCTTGAGTTATAAGTGGTGTAACTAACACGACTTTCTTTTATATATATAGATTATCACAATATCAACAGTGTATTGTATGTAGTTTTGGTACCAATAAACATAGCTACCACAAAGTTATGCCAACTATTTGAAACGCGTTCATATTAGTGCCTAGAATTATGTACTTGTGAATATCTTGTAAATAATATTATAGTATAGAGTAGCTTAAACTCCAATTTATTTAAATTACAATATGTTTTGGTATATCTACATATTTGTCTGTAAATTCAATTAGGTGGATAACTATGTAGCTAACATAGCTAACGTAGAAATATTACAGTGCATAACAAAATGGTATATAATGTTTTCATAACTTAAACTGACAAGCACCAAGCGGTCACCGGTGACCGCGACCTATTGTTCTTTAATTGTGTCTATAAAACCGGTACTCGACGAGTTAATGTTGTAGGTTGGACTAAATTACAAAACACTTTAAGTTTTCATAGTTTAAGCACGAACGTACGTCTAAATGTAGATACTTTGATACTAACCAGAATACAGTTCTTTCCACCGTAAAACCCAGAAATAATAATTTACTAGATAGATCCAATTTTCAATTTCTATTTGCTAAGAGCTTCTAACAGCCATTAACTACGTAATTGTATCTATCTATAGGCACTTAGTGCCATCCATATCCGATGCTCAACGTATGAATGAAAATTGGGGTAATTGGATTAGAACATGACTTAAATTGTCAAAATTATTAAAGTGATGACTGCAAACACGGAATATTGAAAAAAATGTAAGTAGTAACTAACTACTAAATAGAATTCTGTTTTAACCTTTCAAGTACAAGTCTAGGCATATCTATTTGCATCGTTAGTCTTCAACACTTATCTACTGACAGTCAAAGACTTAAAAATCAAAATTAAAGATGAGATCCTTGATTCTCAGGTAGATTTGCTACGATCTTCAAGCTTGGACGGCGGCAGCTTGATCAGCTCTGCTCTTTAGTCGGATCTTAACGATATCTACAGAAAGAGTAGGGGTGGTGTCTGATGCACTTATTCATGGATGTCCACTGACATAAGTACCTTGTGTAGTGACTGATATAAGTACCTTAAACAATCCATCACACCACCACCGACGAGGCCCAGTAGGACTGATGTGCGACCCGGAGCTGCAGATGAGCTGCATAGTGTGGGAGAGCCATGTTTCGGCACGAAGGGGCCGGCTCGATCGGAGTGATAGCATAGCCTCACAGAAAACCGACGTGAAACAACGCTTGCGTTGTGTTTCGTCGTGTGAGTGAGGTTCCCGGACGCTCAATTACCCCCCTCCATAGTCTTCCGAATTCCCGAATCCTCCACAGTCCTCAAATTCCCAATTCCCAAAAGGCCGATAACGCACTTGTAACGCCTTGGTGTTTCGGGTGTCCATGAGCGGCGTCTTACCATCAGGTGATCAGTCTGCTCGGTTACCGGTTTATGTTATAAAAAAAAAGATGGCTTAACGGGCACTGCTTGCGAGATTTCGGCTCAAAATAGAAGAAGGAACGGGGTGGTCTTTAGTCTCCGTCTCGCCTCAAGGCAAGAGAAGTCATTCAATGATTTTGCCCCGTCAAATAATTAAAATAAATTCAATAAGTGTCAAACGTAGGTAAATGTGACCGATGACCTAACTGTCATTGATAAGCCTCAGTTAGGTCAAATGTCTATGCACTAGACATCTAGATAATAGTTATCAACATCAATACAGTGCTCAATTATGTATGTATATCACTTCCTTGTTTCTAGACATTTGTACATATGTATGATCGTATGTCTTTCTTGAATAATCACTAATATTATCACGTAACAAACTTTTAACTTTTCCACTAATAGTTAGAGTTTAAACTCCTATGTATTTACACCAACTCTAGATACCAAACTCAGAATGGGGGCTAACGTTCTTTTCCTCACCAGATGGCGCAAATGTAGGAAGTAGTTTTTGTCCAATCACAGCAGCTGTCAAATATTGAACGTCCAATGGTGTGACACTAGCTGCTAATTCCTTATAGGACGAAGAACGAGAGATTCACACTAGTGGCATCTGGTTAGCAAAAATACGATAGCGCCATTGTCAGAATCAAAAAAAATCTAATGAAGTAGGCACTAACTAGCTTCTTCATAGGTTTGGTTTCGAGTACAGAGTCGACCACTTGTATCGTAGCTCCATTAATTAACAATTAATTAAATATAATTAACGTATCATAATGATGGTAAAAGGACTATTATGTAATAAATAAAAACATGAATATCTAACCAGCAATTATATAACCTCCTAATAGGTGTTGCCCTATCACGCTCTATAACATGCGCTTTCTGCCCTTGGCCTGATCTTGATCGACCTGCGCAATGCGCATACGCAGCTCATGCGAACGTCATGTCAGGTCCGCCATGACAGTTCGTGCGACAGAAAATTGTAAACGACATCCGTTCTACTGCAGTGACATTGTAACTAATCTTTTGACCTTTTTTATGGGCCGGAAGAGCTTTAGATTTTTGCAATAAATCTTTATCAGCCTAGGTATTGACAACTTGACTCTACAAATAAAGTAGCTATAGTGCAGAGTACTAACAATCTTCAAATGCAATAATAAAAAAGGGTCTGGTTTCCAATTCCACTCTGAGTATCAAAATAAGGTCCACCCTCAAAACTCCAACTATATCAGACTAAAAAATAATGATGCTATTGTTAGAAGCATAGACAAAAAGGAACGAAATGTCATCGCGTAGCGGGAAAATATAATCTGTGGTTCGAACAATGAAAAAGTCAAGATGGCGGGAACTCGGAAATTATTGAGACGGTGTATTTGGTGTTGAGGGAATTTTATTCTATTTGAAAGTCAATTTGCCTATTCATGTGTTATTGTTGTTGTTTTTCTTTCAATTAATAGTTATGGTTTAGCTAGTTCTGAATTTGTAATTTGATTTCGATGTTAACAATATAAGGTGTGAATTGTAATGGTGGTACTCTTTATTTCTCCTGCCTCCTGAGTTTCTAAAATCCAATGTGGTATAAAACAAATAAGTTACTAATATCAAAGAGCAAGGTGAACTCTATGACAGTTTTTAAGTTTTCTAATATCAGAAGTGGGATACGATTATTTTCCATGCGTTCTGACTTTCTATGTAGATAATACTTACATGATACGGCAAATTGACTATTCAAAGTTTTTCATTTGTTTTATGTAAGTTCGTATTCATGTACTTAGTAGGTACGTTGTGATCGAGTATTGTGGCAAATTGTGGTAACGTATAACTATGACTGAAACTTACGGTGAGTACGTTCCAATTCCCGTTTGAAAAGCTATAATGCTTTTGTGTATTTGTACGTGTAAGCTACAAATAAATAAAATTGTGAACTCAATGTTTAAACTATTCCTACTAATTTTCTTTTAAGTTAAAATCTTTAACAATCTCAAGTTCTGTCATTGTAATTTGTTATAAGTACCTACCTATGTCCTTTACTGTTACAAACAGTCAGGAGAGACAATTAATGTCACGTAGGTACTGAAGTGATTCTGCTAATATTCCTAGGCGATTCTGCTAACATGGCTTGTGTAAAGTGAACTGAAACACTAAATTTTGATTTGTTTGACTGCATGGAGGAGTGATGCTGCCAATTGCTGGTGAGGAAACGTGAGCTCAACACCGGTGCGCCTGCCTGTGCTGACGTCGCTACAGCTACCGTTCATGACTGCGGCAGTAGCTGAGCGTCGATGGTTGGTGGCAGTAGGTGAATTGACTTCGCTTGGACTGCTATGCAAGCTTGGCTCACTGTGTTGTAGAAGCAATACATTCAATGACCAGGCTGGTGAGATCTAATCTTACTTTTATATTTAGTATTCTTTATCTGCTAATTTTTTTGATCAACAATATAGACAGCAGACCTGGTATGAAGCAGTAAGATACTAAGAATATAAAGTTTGAATTATTGAAATAAAAATGAGTAAATGTTTTACAACGGCAACTGCTTAAAAGCTAAGTCCAAGGCTCAATGC